ATTTTGAGTTGTTGTGTTTTCATTGTCCTTTGTCTTGAGATAGCTTTTGATTTCTTCCTTGATCTCAGTTTTGACCCACTCACTATTTAGTAGCATGTTATTCAGCCTCCATGTATTTATGTGCTTTCCAGGTTTCTTTTTATAATTGATTTCTAGTTTTATAGCATTGTGGTCAGAGAAGATGCTTGATATGATTTTAGTCTTTTTAAATTTATTGAGACTGGTTTCGTGTCCTAACATGTGGTCTACATTGGAAAATGTTCCATGTGCACTTGAAAAGAATGTATATTCTGTTGCTTTGGGGTGAAATGCTCAAAATATCAATTAAATCCAGCTGGTCTAAAGTGCCATTTAAGGCCACTGTTTCCATGTTGATTTTCTGTCTGGAGGATCTGTCCATTGGTGACAACGAAGTATGGAAGTCCCCTACTACGATAGTGTTGCTATTAATCTCTGTCTTTATGTCTGTCAAAATCTGTTGTATATATTTAGGAGCTCCTATGTTGGGTGCATAGATGTTTACTAGGGTTATGTATTCCTGTTGAATTGATCCTTTTATTATTATGTAGTGTCCTTCTTTGTATTTTATTGTAGTCTTCATTTTAAAGTCTATTTTGTCTGAAATAAGTATTGCTACTCCCGCTTTTTTCTCATTTCCATTTGCGTGAAATATCTTATTCCTCCCCTTTACTTTCAATTTGTGTGTGTCTTTTGATCGGAGATGAGTCTCTTGTAAACAGCATATGCATGGGTCCTGTTTTCTTATCCACTCAGCCACTCTACGTCTTTTGATCGGAGCATTTAATCCATTCACATTTATAGTGATTATTGGTAGGTGCATATTCATTGCCATTTTGTTATTTGTATTTCTGATCTTCCCTAGGTTTGCTTGTTTTCCCCTTTCTTCTGTTTAAAAAAGCCCTTTTAACATTTCCCACAATGCTGGATTGGTGGTAATGAATTCCTTATGCTTATTCTTTTCTGAGAAGCTCTTTATCTCTCCAATTTTAAGTGATAGCCATGCTGGGTAAAGCAATCTTTGTTGTAGGCCTTTATTTTGCATCACTGTGAGTATTTCCTGCCACTCCCTTCTAGCCTGCAGAGACTGTAGAAAAGTCAGCTGTTAGTCTTATAGGAGTTCCTTTGTATGTAACCTGCTGTCTCTCTTTTGCTGCTTTTAGGATCCTGTCTTTGTCTTTAACCTTTGCCATTTTAACTATGATGTGTCTTGGTGTGGACCTGTTTGGGTTCAGCTTGTTTGGAACTCTCTGCACTTCCTGGGCTTGTATGTCGATTTCCTTCACCAGGGTAGGGAAGTTCTCAGTCATTATTTCTTCAAATACATTCTCGATCCCTTGCTTCTTCTCTTCTCCTTCTGGTATTCCTATGATGCGAATGTTGTTGCGCTTGATGTTGTCCCACAGGTCTCTTAAACTATTTTCATTGTTTGTTATTCTTTTTTCTTTTTGTTGTTCCAAGTGGGTGATTTCTGCTATTTTGTCTTCTAAATCACTGATCCGATCCTCTGCTTCCTCTAATCTACTGGTGTTTCCTTCGAGTGTGTTCTTCATTTCAGTTATTGCATTCTTTAGTTCTACCTGGTTGTTTTTTATGATTTCTGTATCCTTCTTTATGTCCTCCCTAAATTCCTTAAATATTCTTATCGTCATTGTTCTAAACTCTGTCTCTGAAAGGTTGGATACCTCTGTTTCATTTAGTTCCATTTCTTGAGGTTTCTTCTGATCTTTTATGTGGGACATGTTTCTTTGTTTCTTCACTCTGGCTGTCACTCTGATTGCTTCAATGTATTAGATCACCAGACTGGACGTGGCCTCCTCTTTAGGTCCTTTGTTTAGAGGTTCTGCTCATCTAGTGTCCAAGGAATTTCCGAGGTTGAATATCTTATAAATTATTTGTAATTTTGGTGTGATCCTGGGAGGCATTCGGCACAGTGTCTGTCTATTCTGCCATCTTACCGGAAGTCCTCTAATAAACTTCTAAAGAATCATCTTCTGATTTCCTTACTTTACAAACCTCTACATGCAGTGTGACTCCCGCCCAAGTTTATTAAAACTGCTACCTTCAAACATCATGCATGTCCTCAAACACAATTGTCATTTCTTAAAAATCATTATCTTAACATCTCTCATTGTTACTTCATTGTTCTTTTTTATTATATCATTTTTCATTGGCACTCTGTCACAATATTTTGATTTCCCTCTTTATTTTTCTTACCACTCCTTTATCACCTTGAATGTTCCATTTCTTCATTATAAATTTCCCAAGGAATTATTCTTTTTCTCTGAATTTTTTTATTAGGATGTTACAAAGAGCCTTAAACTATCACCTAGCTGGAGTTGATTCCCTTTATTTCCTCGGAAATATGATTTATTTCCTTTTTCCACTCCATTTGCAGCCTCCATACATTTACTTTTGAACATCCTATTAGCATATGAAACATGACATATCTAACTAAAATGTATTTCCCTTTTTTGTACCATTTCTGATCTTCCCTGCCCTTATATTTAATGATTCTTACCATTCATGTTATAAAACCTTCCGTTGGTTTCTTCTTTCCATTCTTTTTCTCTGTTTTGTTTCCCATCTACTTCTACCCCTACCATCCATCCTTCCTGGATTTTTTGAAGAACTTATGATCTCATTTCTACCTACTTTAACCATATTTGCTAAGATAAGTCTTCCTAAAGCACAAGAAAACTTACTATCTTGCTTGAACCTCTGTATCCAGTTGTTTATTTTCATCGCCTACTAAATGACCCTTTTAGTTTGGCATTCAATGCTGAGTACTCTGACTAGCCTCAGAGAGATTTTCTAGCTTTTATTCTCCTTTTTCCAACATGTCCCAGCCGACCTTGAGTACTCTATTTCTTAAATTTATTTTATCTTACTCTTTCTTATGTTTTTTTCTTCCACTTGAAAAATTTACTCAAAACCATATTCTTACAAATATCTTTACTTATAAATAACCTACCCTCTCTACTGCTCCTAGTTCCCGTTTTACCACAAATATTCAGTTTCACTTGCAGTTTTAAGAAAGTACCCATTTAATAGCTGGACTACTCCCTTCCAGCATACCTCTTTTGAAACACTTTGAAGCTTTCTTATGGATATGTGCCATAGTTATATGTATAGATCTTATCTTTTCTAAATGTATATTCCTTGAGGGCAGGAGACTATATTTTATTAGATCATTTTATTTTGTGATCCCCACATAGTCTAGCATCAGGATTGCAGCAGAGGATTATACAGGATGTGCCCTATGCAAGGTTACACTCCTGAAGGGTGAGCACAGATGGGGACTGAAGTCCTAGAGGGAATGGCTTTTTCTGTTTTGCACATGTGCAGAAGTCCTGCCTACCCTTTCATATAATTGGCACATGTGTAATAAATTAATTCAAGACGTTATATGTAAGTATTGCTTGTTGCCTTTGTCCTTACCCTAGTCTGCAAGTCGTTTTTTATTATGTCCTCTCATCTATTTAGTCTGTACCATTTCCTTTCTGTCACCAATTTCTAAGAGGTTTCTCCTGTTACACATCCAATCTAACCATGCCATACATCAGATTCTTGCTGCTTTCCATAAAAAACTGAAGCGATCTAGTGTTTGGTTGTGATATAATTGTTGTCATATGCCTGTGTTTATTTCTAAGTCATTCCTCAGACCGCTTTTCTCTTGAATCCAAGTAATTAAAACCTTGAACTATCTAAATTTCCCTTAATTTTTTATGCCTATGTCACCTTCATTCTTTAAACCTTTGAATTTTTCATTGCTATTTTTATGCTTGACTTCAGTTTATCATTTTCTAAGACCTGAGATTCAAATTATATTTGTTCTTGTATTTTAGGTCGTTCTTCCCTCTTTCCAATAGATGATGGTTTGCTGGATGATGGTCATAATGATCAAGTTGGTGTCTTAAATTCACCCACATGTTACTCAGCTCATCAAAACGGAGAGCGAATTGAACGCTTCTCTCGAAAAGTTTTTGTTGGTGGTCTTCCTCCAGATATTGATGAAGGTAAGGTAATGATTTGGCATAAATATATATATGAAACATGAGAATAGGGGTATGGGATTTTTTACCTCTTGAGATTTTCAGTTATAATAGATGTCCTTCTCTGTTTAAATTTTTGTCACACACAATGAAATAAAGGTAACCGACCATGACATGCTACCTGCAATGTGTGACAGTCAAAAGTTTAATTTCCTTAAGGATAATATGCCCTTACAAACAGGTAAGAAAGAGGCTATAAAACCCAAAAGAATAATGGAAACAAAACATGAACAGGACATTCAGGTTATACCAAGGCTAATAAATGTATGTAAAAATGGTCATGTGTAATAAAAACAAAAGAGTAATTCAAGATAAAGATTAAAAATACTAAAACTATCCAATATTTGTGAGGTTGTGGGAAACCTGCTACTTTCTTTTACAACTAATGGAGATGATATTGCTACATTTTAGAAGATTTTTAAGTTACGAAATGTTCACAAACTAATTCTATGTATTAGTATAATAAGGTTTCCATTTGATGAAATGGAAAAGTACCATGGGATTTGATCTATGTGTGTTTCAGGTCTGGCATGTGTCAGACTCTAGTATATTTTCTGAGTATTATAGATTTTCACATCTTATTACAGCAGGCCTTTTTCTTTTTTCTTTGATTTTAATTATTAAGCAGTAATGGATCTCTTTATTTAATTTAATATAATGCTGACATGTTTTTCAAGCCAGTGATATTTATGGTTTGGTGCACTATAAATCCATTAGTATCTATGCAATGTTATTTAAAATTTCAAAGGTCACACTGAATTGATTATTCTGGCCAGTGTGCTACTTAAAAATGAATTTATTTTGACTAAAATAGCTATTAAGTTTTATGTATTATTTTAATAAGGATATTAAACATTTTAACTGTTTATATTCTAATCTATTTTAGGCTATTTGTTACTTTTAAATACTAAATCTTTAAAGCATATTATAAAATATGGGATATTTTTAGAATGAATCATTAAAGGTAATTCCTAATCCATATTATTGTACTTTCTTAAGATGAAATAACTGCTAGCTTCAGAAGATTTGGGCCTTTGGTAGTAGATTGGCCTCATAAGGCAGAAAGCAAGTCCTATTTTCCACCAAAAGGTAAGGGTTTTTATTGTTAATATTTGCTGGGGAATCAGTTATATGAGAGCAGAAGAGACAATATCAATTACTTAGTGTTTTCTTTTAAAATTGAATATGACTACATCTTTATATAAAATCTAATAGAGTAAGCTGTAGAGGCTGGAAACATGTATGGAGTGAGGCAGAATGGTCCTGAGAACGATCCCAGTTTCACTTTAAGCCAGTCAGGAATTATAAGGAACTTGCTGTGCTTTCTCTGTGATTTGATTATGATTTCAAAGACTCAAATGTTTTAGTATTTTTTTCTGTCTAAAGCATCATTCTAAGTAATTTGAGTGTAGACATAAAAAACTTTCTCTCAGTGAAATTATGATCTGTATGAAATGAGACTAAAATATAAACCTGTGAATAGTTTAAATAGGTCAATAATTACTTAAGTGTTCCAAATAATAGCAGACCACAACAGAGTAGTATATACTCTGTGGTGTGTTTTGATAGAGGGGAAAGTGACTGGTCAACAAACCCCCAATTATATCGACAAAATGTGAAGAAGATACCTAGTTGTGCTAGTCATTTATTGCTAGAATACTGCTGTGGCTGGTCACCAGAGTACAAGGATCACAAGCTATGCTAGCGTTTTTTGGAGCACAGCAAGGCCACCGTCAGTGGGGAGAGGAAGAGACAAGGGGAGAGAGCTGTATGTCATCCCAGTGAAATTCCTAAGAAGATTCTTGGAGTAAATAAAGGGGGAAGTTCAAAGACGGGGACTTTTCTTTAAATATGATTGAAATATAGTTTTAGAAAAGAAAAAAGACAGTAGTATTCTCATGGCTGAGTGAGTTTTTAAGCCTAGAAAAGACTCCAATAGACCTATTAAATGGTTTGATTTTGGCTCTGGGAAAGGAAACATGTTAGAGTTATTGGCATACAAAAACTAGCTAAGGTTTCTGGTGATGAATTATACAAGCCATCTCCACTTTTCATCATTGAAAATTAAATAACCTCCATTTAGTTCATATAATTTTTTAGAGAAATTTAATGCAGTGATTTTTCATAACTTTAGATCTTATGCCAGTGGAATTGAGACTGTCTTTTGAGCATGGATTATGGATCCCAGACCTCTATGAGAATCTGATAAAAGCTATGGAACTCTCTTCATATACACTCAATTTTCACATGATTTTGGAGTTTCCCAGATTTGGAGGTCCCAAATCTTTGGGTTAGAGAGAAAATTAGCTCCATATAGATATAGATGTTTATATGTTAGTTTAGTTTTAACCTGTTGTCCACAGTTTTACTATCCTGTCCTTTTATAAAGTTTATTTTATTGAGTGTTCATTAAAAATGCCTGTTAGTTTCTAATGTTCCCACATAAGTTACTGTCTCCCCTTGCCTGGACTGCTTTAGGCATGTGACTATCTGTCCACATCTGTGGCTCTCTCCAGTTTCTCTCCCATAATACAGCTCGAGTAATGTCTTGAACTCCTCTGATGGTGTTATTCCTTTGCTCTCCTGCCTAAAAGCCTTCAGTGGGTTCTTTTATAGTTAAGGTAAAGGCAAAAAGTGCATTCGCCTTTCTGGCCTCCCCATCTCTCTAGTTTCTTCTCCTAATATTGCTTTTGTTCCCTTCTGGTTCCACAAACAGACCTTCCTCTCTCCTGCCTTAGGGCTTTTATGTATGGTGTTCTTCTGGCTGAAGGCTCTTCCCATGTGTCTGCATCTGTATACCCCTTACTTATCCCAGCTTAAATATCAGCTGCTCACAAGAAACTTATAGGACCTACCCAATGAGGTCAAATCAAAATGCAGGCTATCCTAGCATTGTTCTTTCATAGCACTCATTACAGTTGCAGTATGACATTTTTACAACTTTAAAAATACACGATTGTTTTATTAATGTCAGTTTCTTATAGTAGTGTGTAAGACTGTCTTTACTCATTTTGTAGTCTGAGTAATCATGGATTCATAATTGTCTAATGCCTGACATAAACAACTGTAAAAACTGTAGGATAGAGAAATTACTTTGACCTGAAGTAGGTGGGGAAAGGCTTCACTGATAAGTTTTAATATTAAATCTAAAAGATACTATGCAATTTAGATAGATAAAAAGTTGTTGGGCCGGCCGAGTGGCGCGATGGTTAAGAACTGGCTTGGGATGCCAGAGGGCCCCGGTTCGGATCCCATATATGAGGGCCTGTGACACTGCCCTCTACAGCTAAGATGCTGAACAACAGCTCAACCTGGAG